GTCCGTTTTATATAGTACCTAAACATAGTTGTTAAGGCACACAGGGGTCAGGGGATCTTTACGGATCACAAATAAGTATATTATATAGATATATAATATGGTCAGACGTATTTGAGTTTCGAAAATACGACCGTAGTATTATAATACCTATACATGATAATATATTGTAGTTTAGGGTACGTACGGATAGACCCTTAATAAGAGTTTTAAAACATTTTTTTTTTTTAAGAAAACACCGTATCTAATGCCAAGCTATAATCGGCATTATATATAGTAATGTATTATTAATGTGTGTATGTGCGCGCGTGAGCGCATGTGTCTCTGCTTCTTTGGCCGTATATGTGTGTGTATGTATATGCTATGTTCGATCAAACATATTGAACATCGTTTTTTTTTAAATTTAAAGACATTTATATACGGCCAATTTAATACCATTCTTGTACGATACCGGATACTCTATATTATAGATTTTGAATGTGCCCTAACGACTGTCTGCGATGATTATTATGGTGTGACTCTATCTTACCTACCTATCGAAATAAAMCTAATAGCTTTTAGTACCCAAGTTTCGAAAACGTAATAATAATTGTAATTTAATCAATAGGTGCGTCATACGCTAGTGTGTATATAAAACAACAAACATTCGTCCCCCTCACTAGTCACTATACCTTGTCACGTTTAGCTCCGTTATTTAATTAAAGAATGAATCTGCCTATTATGTAAAAATTATAGCAGAAAAACAATAAAATACAATATAAAATTCGTGAAACTAATAAAATTATGTAACTCAATTGGATACCTGCATAAAGTGAATATTATTTTTAGAAAATTGAATAAATTATAATTTTTTAAAATAGAAGGAATTTGATGACCTATATGTAGTAATATGTATCGATGTCAGATTTATATAATTATTATAATTTAACATTTATATAATAAAATTTTGTCAATTAACCAAAGCAATTRGAAATTAGAAATTGTAGTGTAAATATAAGGATTTTACACTTGCTTTATTATTATTAAGTCAATAAAACTACAAATTAGTGGATTGATAGTTAGCGGAATCAAAATTTATAAAAGTCCGGTGGAAATGAAACGTGACGCAATCAATTATTTTATTACTATACAGGTAAAATGCTAATTTCATAGCAATCGATTTATGTCTCTTTCTGGTCCCTTCTTAAGGCGCGGTCAAAGAGTGAACGGACTGCCGTATCTGTCGGGTACGCAGACCTCGGAGGGCAGCGATCCGGTTGTATTATTTTACAGTTTTAATGTTTTTATTTGTAAACACTAAACAATATAATATTTAACCACTTAATATAAGTATTCTACTACCTAGTTAATGGTTATATACTTCTTCTTTTACACTATGCCGTGCACCTATCTATATTTCAAATTTTAATGCGAAGAGAATGCCACGCGGGTATATGTTTGATCAATCTTATAAACATACAACATGACAATTTTTGCGTTCACTATAAATTATAATAAATTTTACACTGTTTTTTTTTTTTTTAAATAATACTGAATTTACCACTAAATTTTAAGGTAAGACTATCATCCAGGGTATCTTGGAGGATTTTATTGGGATTTAAGTAAGTTATGACTATTTTTAAACTGAACATTTCTTGTATATTTTAAAATGATTAAAATGATTAAAACGATATAAAAATTGTAAAGTTTAACAAAATCCATTCACTGACTTTTTATTTTTGTCATAATTATATAAAAATGTTTACTAACTATTCTATTGCCGTTATTATGTATGATGTAAGTATTATTAATATTTCTAGTTTAGAAATTAGGAAAAATAGTTTAWTATGAGTTAAATAACTATGCAAACACAGAAATAATAATTTATAGCACAAAAACTAAAATCGAATATTTAACTATACCTACTTATTTATTTTAGATCCCTACCTAACTTTCATATTAGGTATATTATTACATCGAGTTACAAACTTTACTTATGCAAACTATTTTGACAGGAATCTATATAAATTATCATAATAATTAATTATTTAGATCACTAAATTACTTATACGTTTTACAACTATTATTCTACTGTTATATAAATATATTTTTATTATTACAATATCTACAACGAATGATAACGATAATAATAAATGAATGATTTTTTGATAGTTTTTAATCACCGAATACCACAAACAATAATCGTGTTAAAAACAACGAAAATCAATTAGTATTTTATAGTAAAAAATCTCAATATTAWTGATAATTCGGAATTCCCATGGTCTACATTGAAAATGATGTCTGTGTATGACAATGCATTATTTTCTATAGATACCTACCTTGTATCTATATATATATATCGCTGTGAGTATATAATTGGTTATTAATGTGTTATTAATTATTTTACCTGTAAATTATAACAATAGTTCATAATAGCGATGGAATTTGATATTCAATCTAAAAGACTCTGATTAAGGAAATCAGATAAGTACCTAAAAATATTTGTTCTTTGTTGTCCTCTAAACTTTCACGCATTTGATAAATAAACAACTCATTTTTCATATATAAGTAAGATCACYAAAGTTCGATATTCGATTTAATGAATAACAAAATATTATAAAAACCTATTTGGATTCAGTGCAAAGTGTACTTGACATCAATTAGGAACCTAGTCAATTTTTAAAATTTAATTTCAGTTGATTTTTAAATAAAAAATTAAATGAAAAAAAATGTTCAAACCGTAAAATTAAATTTTTTGGAAATTAGGAAGTTCAAAAAAGTAATGTGATCGATCACTATATTATAACTGTCATGGTAAGTTCTAATATGTTTTTAATATTATTTATGTCATTTATCACTTCACTACTTTGATCGTACTTTTGCTCTTAATTATGGGTAGTTTTTATTACATTTCACGCGTGAAGAACAAAATGTGAATGAATAAATTAATAAAAATAAGAATATAAAATAGCATTATTTTTTTTGAGCCTTTAGTAATATTATTTTATAATTTATAAACAATTGAACTAATACTTTACAGAATAAAACATTTCAATACAAATTGAATAAATATTATGTTATTACTTCAGCAGGTATACATAACTATGTATGACGTATTTAATACCTATTCTGTCGAGAGGAAACAATGAAAATTAGATGCTAGAAATTACATTTCGTAATTTCGGTATTATTACAGTTATACAAGTCACACAGCGGTTCGTGGTATGAACTGTGAAGAGAATAAAGTGTTTATTTATTTCAGAAAACTAATATTTCATTCATTATTATTAATCGTGATAAGGATTAAGTTATATAAAAATTAAAAATTAAAATCACTTTTATTGAGTATACATTCATAAAAAAAATTATAAATACAAAATAAATATAAAATGAAATATTTTGACAATGACAATGTATTAAATACATGATTAATAGTTTTATACATTTCATAAATTGTTATTAATATTATTATCTAATGTAATGTGATAAAATAAAAATTGCTTTAAAAACAATAAAATGTAATTAAAAATTAATTAATTATAATAAAAACTCACAAAATTTACTTGATCCAGAAAATTAAATTCTGAAGTAAATATGTACATAATTAAAAAATATGTTTCTTTTAAAATTGAGCAACTTAAATCTAAATTTGTTCATGATTCAATTATTGATTATCGATTATATTTTTAAGTTTATTAACTTATAAATTATTAAAATTATTAAAATCATAAATAACAATTATGATACCTTATCCTTTCATTTATTCTTAACTTTCAGCCTTTTGTAGTTTTCAATCCTTTTGAAGTATAGCTTTCAGACCCTGTAATTCAAACATAACAATAAATAAATTTAAAGTATAAGTATATATTTAAAAGCACAAACAAATATAAAAAGGTGGGTAAGCGACCGTAGCTCATGGAAATGGATGTGTAATTTGAAATCTTAAAATAATTTTTTTTTTTGAATATGTAATTACAATTTTAGCCTCTCAAAATTATCAAGCAGATTCGCTTTACCAACTGAAAAAAGCTGAAGTTGAAAATTGAAGCATTATTCAGACTATTTCAGGCGCGGATTCAGTAGGGGGCGGAGGGGGCGCCCCCCMGTAAGTTGTGTTTTTTTTAGGAAAAATGCCCAGTAAAAAGATTTAAAACTAATTTTAATACGTTGAGTGCCGTGGTCGACGGGTAGTAGACATTTTAAATAAAAGTAAATTTAGTGACTATATGTACGTTATTTATCTTTTTAATATTTATATTCATGACTCATGTTTTAGTTTTAATTTCACTATTTGGAATTTATCAATTGATTATAAAGTTGTATTAACCATAACTGTTTCGTGTAAGTTATTTTTGAACACAAATATGTGCGCTTGCCCACATATTATATTTTATTAGATATTTTATTTTGTATGTAAAATATTCGCCCCCCCCCTCCCCCCTAATCTGGGGCTGGATCCGCGCCTGGACTATTTATCATATTATATATAGATACAAATAAAAAAATAATACAAATAAATCACATYATTGTAAAATTAATATATTGCATGTGTTGTTTAATAGTTAGTTTTTGTATGTAATGTTAATTTATTGTGTACAGTATTATAAGAAAATTATGAATTGTCGAGAACACTGGCTGAGGAATCACAATTATGTTAGAACTATTCTATATTCAAAATATTTATTGCAACCATAGATAAGTATCTAATCTACCTACTTACATAGTAAGATAATATTATTAATTATAATTAAAAATTAATTTGTTGCTTTTTTTAACGAGTAATGAGTAACGTAAGAAACTTTCCAAATAGGTACTTATAATTTATATGGWAAGGCACCTAAATTGTGATAATAACAAAAAYAATTATGATGGAATTTAATATATTATAACGTATATTATAATATGCTGATTATAACTTTAACATCAAAAATCAAACTACCTACTTACTTATTGGATTTATGATATATGCATATTATTATAATACTTTAAATATTTAACCCAACCATTAAAACATTAAACCTTACCATTATGATTTGGCTGTTAACGATTCTCAATGATTGAAGCAGCTTTTGATGAAAATGGTGACGCACAAAACTAATAGACTTCCGGGCTTTACTATGTTCTTTCATTCTACGCTCTGATATTATTGTTAAATGTCGAAGAACGCGAAAACTTTTAATCAACTCCTGTACTCCCATGCCAATGGTACTGATCGTAGCATTAGAAGTTGCAGAAGCCATTCTCTGATTGTAAGTAGGAGACTTATCAGAGAATTGTGTTAAAATATATTTCCAGGTCTTTGGAATTCCATTAGCTTCCAAACATGCACGATACAAATTACTTGGATATCCTCTAAAGATTGGTCCAAGTAGATGGTATACTCCAGTATTTGTTCTAACAACATTTTTTGATATTATAAATTCTAATCTTCCAGCTTCATACCTTTCACATAATATGGCTCGACAATCATATGACAACAAAGTTCCTAAAATTGTATAAACAAATTATAAATAAATTATACATATTGATTAGGTTACTCCAAACAGTTTTTTTTTGTYAAACATCAAAATTTTCAAATACTAACCAAATTCGATTATTTATTTTTAAAATAACAAATTTCAAAGTTAAATTTGTAAAAAAAATTCTTAATTAAATATTTTTAARCTTTAAAATATAAATATGTATCCACAGTGAACAACGAATAAATCATAATTCTCATATTGCAAATAAAAAAATTGAGCAAGTGGCTACCGACGTACCTATTGTGTTGTTGTACATTAGGTGTCGAGTGGGTAACTGTAGTCCATAATTGATGTGTTAAATTAGAATTTATTGATATAAAATCGTTCTACTCACGAAAAACAATAAAGCAATTCTAAGCCAAGTTGGTCTAAAACCAACTGTGTAGTATATTTTATGATATAATTGATTTTAAGAGCACGTTATACTCATTATGTGTATCTCCATCTTACAAGTGCGTAACTATAAGTATTTTAAAACTGTAAATTGTTTGTACTTCTTAAATTACTGCTTATAACTCGCTTCAAAATTAAAATATAGTAAGAAGCCCATGAATTTGTCTAAATAATACTCTTACCAGTCTTTCCTTAAAATTTTATAAGAGGACAATTTACACTAGTTTTTAAACTAACGGAGCTAAGCGAAATCTGCTGAGCGTAAAATTTGTAATGTTACGCACTTGTAAGACAGAGACAACACATGCGGATATAACGTTCTCTTAAACAACTTTAGAGCAAGAAACATTACATTTGAAAATACGTAATAGGTACATAGAAGTATATATTAATATTTTTAATAGGTACCCACAAATATCATTATTGGATTACAACATAATAACTAAAATAGTTATTCTTGGTATGGAATAATATTATAATATTATAATCCATAYTATGGATATCTAATTTCGTCAAAATTTGAACTTAAAATATTTAGAAAAATCTGTGCTTATTTATTATTTTTATTTTTTGGTTACATTATGGACTATTTATAAGAATCCTTGTTTTTAATTTTTAGTCTATTAGCTATAAAACTTGAATATTTTATTTTACGTTAATKATTTTTATTACGATTAAGCGTTACAACTTTTTAAACTAAATATTTAAAAAGAATTATATTTGATTACTTACCACTTAGTTCGACGACCATACCAATATCGCCCTGATCTAATCTAATGTTTTTGACGTTTACACACCAACTCGATAAGTACTTCGGTTCAGCTTGTACTCTGGTGTTCACCACATGTGGACTGAAGTAACTTGGYGGAGGCGGCAAATATGGATTAATTGAGCGAGTTGGTCCTGTTCTTAAATTAGTCATCAAATGAGGATTGTTGTTGGGCCTAACACTTGATGATCTCGCGGCCGGTGCGTGTGCCCATTTACCAWACATACTTGATCCTGATTGTTGATACATTTTATAAAATACTAGTCGTTGAATTAAACTCACAATATTTTTCGTAAAGATAATTCTATCTTAAAAAGTAAGACTTGACACAACAATCGTTAACACACGGACAACACAACAAACACGGACTGAACCGACACCAACGAAGACTGCGACACTACTGGTCACTACCTGTCCGACAAGTGTTTGGACAACGACCACGCGTTGATCCAACATCAGCGCCAGTCGGAAGGTGCGGAGTTATTGTGAAACCAMTACAACCGGTATTTTTTACCTTGCTGAGGCAAAAAAGGTTTCTCTGTATATTCTTCTTGCGAGCGACCCGATCTAGCGTGGACAAACGGTGATCAGCTGCGCGATGTTATACGTCAGTCGACCACGGTGGGAWATCTGTCTAGAATAATTTTTCTAACCATCTCCCAAGTATATAGATATTATAAGTTTAGAGTACTAATAAAATTGCAATATTTTAATCACTATTTTAACAATATTTATTGTACCCATAATTATTGTATCCATATCACGGTTGTTGGATGTCAACGGTCCCTTATGATGTCGGATAATTATTTATTATTGAGAGTATTTTTAAATTTTTTAAATTTTTTTTTTTGCTTAAGTATCTATTGAGTATCTAAATATAAGTCTAAAATCTATAGTTTTAGTGACGTTTTCTCTACTAGTCGTGTCTCGTAGTTAAAATGTTTTCCAAATTGTGACCCAAGATTTTTTTACGATTATATGCCTACTAATGTTGGCCAAAGTTTTTTAACGTGCGTATATTTTTCATGGAACGATTTTTTTATTTTATATGTTTTATATTTTCTTATTTCGAAATCATAAATCACTATGAACCATAGGTACTTGAGATTTTCACCAAATATTAATTGTATTAGATTTTTCTAAATTATTTTGATTAGTTTTAAACTAATCCTAAATRTATACAAATTGTTCTTTAAATTCATTAAAATGTTTGGGTTTTCTTAAAACCATAATCCCCACTTCTAACGGCATAACTACGATATTATGGCTGCGGTAATTAAATAAATGCATGTAGACTTATGTCTGATGTACACATTGAGTTGGCGTTTCCCTCACTTTCATATACTGTTTCTCGTAAAAAGTGATTGCAACCGTTGCGCACAAAAATTGTAATAGAGTTAGTCCAAAATCATAGTGAGGTTGAATGGAAGAAGAAATATTGGCGGCCAGCATAAGCGTGATGCAGACGTGGTACATACCATATATACTATAATATCTACACCATTGAATTTTTGAAAAAAAATAGGATTTCGATCAATAATTTATTATGCTAATACTTTTGCATAAAATTCAGACTATAATTCTGCRATGAACTTTAAGTTTACTTTTCATATAATTATATTGACGCTATTACGAGTCACGAGATCTTATTTTTACTTAGCTCTGGCCCTCGACTATGGCGTTTGATAATGATTGATATAGATGATCCGTACTCGCRTTAATATCAGTTATTAAGGAAGTAGAAGTAGGAATTTAAAATAAGTATCACTATAACCATATTATAATATTTATATAGGTAGAATTAATAATCTACAAASCCTTTCAATCCACCACTCTACACATTACTTCTAAAATTACTTTAAAATGGAACCGGTATATCAATTGGCCACAACACATTATAAAAACTTTAACACTCACTTTAATACTTTAATTGCTTTAAATTTTCATCTAACCCACTGGATTTTCCCCCACGAAGACTTAAGAGAAAATTGTGTCAAGATTTATTGAATAATTAATTATTGTAATAAAATACAATTTTATTGTTAACCTAAAAGTTCTGGTTATTTTTTATACGAAGAAGTAGATAATCACAAAAAAAAAATGTACGTTACGTTCTATCGTTGGATATCCTCCCTTATTGTGTATATCATTGTTGTGTATTTTTATATTTTCTAATATGCTTATTATGCCTTGTAGCGTAGATTATAAATATTCTATTGATGTTGTGAAAACGTGAAAATGTTTTAGTTCATGACACGAAATATGGCCGGTGTCTGTTAAAAACATAGTGGTCGWTTTGGATTTATATTAAGTGGGTATCAAACTAATTACGACAATATAAAACAGGTTCGTAACGTACAAAACCCGTTTGAGATTTTTTTCTGTACGAATTTCTTGCACTGGTTGCGAGAGTTTCCGGCYACTTTTTGTGTCACTGACGTATATAGTTGGGAACAGGAACGTATGCTGTGATTATGATTACTATTACTGTTGAACGATTAACTTTACTGCCGCCACCGCCTCCAGTACGGGGTGTGTGCCGATGATATCAAGGCTGAATAAAAAGTAGTGACTAGTACATACGACCCTGGTACCTCCGACTCCCGTTTCATGGATGTTGGTGAAATAACATAACATAACATAACATAAAATAAAATAACATCCATGAAACGGGAGTCGGAGATACCAGGGTCGTATGTACTAGTCACTACTTATTATTCACCCTTGATATCATCGGCACACACCCCGTACTGGAGGCGGTGGCGGCAGTATAGTTACTCGTTCAACAGTAATAGTTATCATAATCACAGCATACGTTCTGTTCCCAACTATATACGTTAACATCATAGATTTTCATTTCACATATTCTGATACAGTGTTGTACTAACAAAGGGGAGGGGGGGGTAAACCTCCGAGATTCAGATCTAAGTACGCCACTGTTCGGGGGGTCTATTCCCGAAAAGTATGTCGACGGTCATTGCCATTGAATTATATTATATTTTGTTTCCTCCCTCATTTACACGCGCAACATAGTTAAAACACTTTCAACTTATATATAAATTATCGTTTTTAATTTTTTATATTTTTATTATTATTTAACTTAGAATCTACACGTTTTATAAAACTAAATTTAAATAACGTTTATATTGTTTTGAGACAATATTTAAAGAAATCGATGTGTCCTTCTTAAATAAATAAATTACAAAAACAACAATTTTTGATTAAATGCGTTTTGTCTTGAAGTTATTAACCCCCAGATGTTTAAAATATAGGTCTTAACCCTCCAGGTCTTCAAAATTTGAAAGCGCCTAAACACACAATAATAGAAATAATCGTAAAATATTTTTTTTAATAACTGAATTAAAAGTTAAATACAAAAAAATATTCTGTGATAAAAATTGAGCCGAAATTTTACGCTCAGCAGATCACGTTTATCTACGGGAGTTCAAGATTTTGAGTGAATTGACCTCTTGTAAAAATTTAAGGTGACATTATTATCGAGAGCTTCACATAAGCTTTTATTATATTTTAATTTTAAAGCAAGTTATAAGTATTTTGAAAATTGTAAATTATTTGTATATCTTTAAATACTCATAACTCGCTTTAAAATTAAAATGTAATAAAAAGCCTATGAGAAGCCTTCGATAATAATGTTACCTTAAATTTTTATAAGAAATCACTCAAAATTTTAAACTAACAGAGCTACACGTGTTCTGCAGAGTGTTGCTATGTTACGCACTTGTAAGACGAAGACAACACATGCGGGTGAAACGTCCTCTTAAGAGGACGCTACACCCGCATGTGTTGTCTCCGTCTTACAAGTGCTTAACATTGCACAAACTGTTTCGCGCGGGAAAGAACCGAGAAAGTTACAGTTATAACTAAGAAACGAAATTTTCACCACATAAAGAGGAGAATTTTGTCTGTGCAATATCGTTTTTATTTTTTCGATATCAGAACTACAAAGAAAGTTATTCATGCTTAAAAAACACAAAATTAATGTATTATAAAACAATAAGAATTTTTTTTATATAAGTGATATCAAAAAAATAAAAACGATATTGCACAGACAAAATTCTCCTTTTCATGTGGTGAAAATTTCGTTTCTTAGTTATAACTATAACTTTCTCGGTTCTTTCCCGCGCGAAACAGTTTTTGCAATGTTACGCACTTGTAAGACGGAGACAACACATGCGGGTGAAACGTCCTCTTAATGATATTATYCATATCTCTATTCGTTAGTTATCGTCGTTTTAAAATGACACGTGACGTCAYAGGTTCCATCGGTCGGTCACCGGCCTATTTCAATACATGCATTTCCTCGACGCGTCGTTAGTCATTCATTTATATATTAACTTATAATTCTCAAAATGAAAAGCTGTTTTCATATTACAAAACCATAGATATTTTACCACAACCTAATACTAACATTCTATAGAAATAATAAATATTAAACGTTTATTTATCCATAATTTTACATATTTTCGTTAAATAATAACCACATTCCACCATCTACCAACGTTTTGACTACCACATTATTTTWATTATTATTATTTTATGATACAGTTGCACAGAAACAAGTACAATTGATGATAATTTTCAAATTCTAACCACATTGATTTCAATATCCAAGCCAAATTTTGATTGAAAAAAGTGCTTATGGCTTTTAAAATAAAGTGTTATACAAAATAAAAATAATGAGGATTTCGACTTTTTATTTAAATCAAGGAATTATTTTCTATTTACTATTACATACGTATATATAACCGTATAAGGTATAACATAATTATTTATCATATATTATTTTCAAGATCAAATTACAATTTAATGTACCTAGTATGATTATTTATTGAATATAATAAAAATAATTATAATAATAAATATACACAATTATGAGGATAAATATTATGTAATTGATTTTTTGAAACCATTTTACAATTCATTTTTTTTCAGGGTACTTATTTCTTATCTTGTTAATAAGTCATAACACATGCAGGAATGACAAAAATAATGACAAAAACCCTAAAATAATTAAACTTAGCTAGTAATCGTACTAAAATACCTACCTAATATAGGCTATAATATATAATTTTAATGTTTGAACACAATTTAAAGAKKTGTGTTACCCTGGCACCCCAAGGTCAAAATTTCGACTTGAAAACTGTTTGGTATTATATTATTTATTATGTAAAATTTTGTAACCACATCGGTGCCCCGGAAAACAGCATTACAA